AATTGTATCTAGAAATTTGAACAGACTCCATTAACAAAGATAATCTCATTGTCTCAAATAACCTCAAATTCATAACTAGTTAATTACACAAAAAGATACTCACATCAACGATTGGTATTACTACTCTCCCAGAGGCTGTGGTCAGCAATAACACTACGAATGCTATAAATAAATATTCTTTTCCATGCCCTCAGCCAGTCTTCTGAATGCAGTAGTGAGTATGATTCTTCATAGGTGAGATGAAAAGAGACCATTGTGATTTTCCAAAGAGGGACTTACCAGATAAGTGTTATACCTAAAATAAATTTAAATTTACATCATAAAGGCAGTTATGAAACCTATATTTTTTATAATCAAGTGTATTTTCAAGATAGCCTCCTCTTTAAAAGCCAATATAAAACCAAACCAAGCTCCTTCAAATTAATACATATAGACTATGTGGACTTGGCTTGATTTCCTTTGGCCATTGAAAATGAGACTGCGAAACAATGGGAAGTTATAATTATTTTTTATTTAATCTTTCTTCTTGCCGTTCAGCACATGTTCAAAAATAGTCGTTCAGAAACAAAAAAATATATTATTAAGAAAAATATATTATTAAAATATTAGACATAAAATTTTTAAAAAATTATGTTATGACAAAAGTTATTATTTAACTGCCTCATCTTTAAAAGCCAATATGATACCAAAACGAAGTTATTCTTCAATTTAACATCTCTCTACATTGAAGAAAGACTATCCATGAGATTCACGAAATACTGTCCTTCCAGCAACGCTTTCTTCTTTAGGGCTGTAGACCTTCTCCTCTTCAATGGTTTTGTTGAATAGTTGATATAAAACAAAAAATATTATATAAAACTGATATGGTGTCCACAAGACAAAGTCATGAAATATTATTATAATACAGATTTCAAGATTTACTATCGATTTAATATGTCATGTTACCAAACAATATTTCTAACTTCATCTTTGAAATACAACAACCTAATGTGAAAAAGGATACCATACACAGTTGAGACATAGCAGAGAGCAATATAATTTTCTTTTTTTGGACAAATCTGTATGATATCCCTTTATCACGTGAAGCTGGTGTTTTCAAGAGAATAAAGCTATTCGGAGGAACTCTCCATATTTGCAGGGAACTCTCCATATTGCAAGGCAGGGGCATTTGAGGCTCTAGACTTCTCCCGCTACTTGGTTTTCAAGAAGAGGTACAATTTATTTTTAAAAAAATTAAACATAGTATTCATATACCACATACACCAAAGTAATGAAACATCATTCTTATATATTACTGATTGCCAAATTAATACAGAAGTAGTAATGATAAATAAACGCTAACCTTTATTTTTAAAGATGATTCAGTGGAATATTTTTCCAAAATTTGAAGTAAACTTTTCAAGTGCAGAGAGACTATATCCATGAGATTCGCAAAAACTGTTCTTCTTGCAGCAATGCCTTCTTTGAGGCTGTAGACTTTCTCCTCCTCCATGGTTTCGTTGAATAGTTGATATAAAACAAAAAATATTTTGAAACTGATATTGCACCAAGAAGAAAAAGTCATGAAATATCATTATATTATAATAAATATTTGAGCATTAATCATGTCGTATAACTGAACCATATTCCTGACTCCATCTTTGAAATACAATAACCTAATGTGAAAAAGGATACCGTACACAGTTGAGACATAGCAGAGAGCAATATAATTTTCTTTTTTTGGACAAATCTGTATGATATCCCTTTATCACGTGAAGCTGGTGTTTTCAAGAGAATAAAGCTATTCGAGGAACTCTCCATATTTGCAGAGAACTCTCCATATTGCAAGGCAGGCGCATTTGAGGCTCTAGGCTTCTCCCGCTACTTGATTTTGATGAACTCTGAAATTTGTCTAAGAAAGAAATTAAACATAGTATTTCTAAAGCACAGGGATCGAAGTAAAGAAACGTCATTCTTATAAATTACAAAGTGTCAGATCAATGGAGAAGTAGTATTGATAAATAAACACTGACCTTTATTTTTAAAGATAATTCAGTGGGATATTTTTCCAAAACTTGAAGTTTACTTTTCAAGTGTAGAGAGACTATCCAATAGATTCCCGAAAAACTGTTCTTCTTGCAGCAATGCCTTCTTTGAGGCTGTAGACTTTCTCCTCCTCCATGGTTTCGTTGAGTAGTTAATATAAAACAAAAAATATTATAAAATTGATATTGCACCAAGAAGACAAAGTCATGAAATATCATTATATTATAATAAATATTTGAGCATTAATCATGTCATATAACCGAACCATATTCCTGACTCCATCTTTGAAATACAACAACCTAAAGTGAAAAAGGATACCATACACAGTTGAGACACAGCAGAGAGTTATAGAATTCTTTTTTTTTTCTTTTGGACAACTCTGTATAATATCCTTTATCACATGGGGTTGGTGTTTTCAAGAGAATAAAGCTATTCCGAGGAACTCTCCATATTTGCAGAGAACTCTCCATATTGCAAGGCAGGCGCATTTGAGGCTCTAGGCTTCTCCCGCTACTTGATTTTGATGAACTCTGAAATTTGTCTAAGAAAGAAATTAAACATAGTATTTCTAAAGCACAGGGATCGAAGTAAAGAAACGTCATTCTTATAAATTACAAAGTGTCAGACCAATGGAGAAGTAGTATTGATAAATAAACACTGACCTTTATTTTTAAAGATAATTCAGTGGGATATTTTTCCAAAACTTGAAGTTTACTTTTCAAGTGTAGAGAGACTATCCAATAGATTCCCGAAAAACTTTTCTTCTTGCAGCAATGCCTTCTTTGAGGCTGTATACTTTCTCCTCCTCCATGGTTTCGTTGAATAGTTGATATAAAACAAAAAAGATTATAAAACTGATATTGCACCAAGAAGACAAAGTCATGAAATATCATTATATTATAATAAATAATTGAGCATTAATCATGTCATATAACCGAACCATATTCCTGACTCCATCTTTGAAATACAACAACCTAAAGTGAAAAAGGATACCATATGCTGTTAAGGCACAGCAGAGAGTTATAGAATTCTTTTTTTTTGGACAACTCTGTATGATATCCCTTATCACATAAATAGCTTAATCCATATAATCCTTAAAAAGGCAAACGAAATAAATATTTTTCTTTTTTTCAGAATAGTTATTTTTTTACTACTGATGCAATAATTGCTTTATTCCGTCTGGTTTTATTTGAAATTTGGTTTCCAGTTCTTACCATGCCTCAATTGGAGACTATTGAGTTATTCACTGCAATCGAAGAAACTTAATGCTTAAAGCAGGAATCTTCCTATTATGATTTATTATTTTTTATTTTATTTTTTTTTTATGACGCTTTGTTAAATACTGTAACATAAGAAATAAAGAAATATTACTCTATTATATTTACTCTCTATCTTATACGATGCATTGGTTATCACTGTTTTTCATTTGAATATTCATGTCTACATTTTTCTCTGTATTATGGTGGGTTCAATAGCAGATGGAAAACCCATTAAATTTTTATGTATAGATGAGTTCCTGTAAAGTACATACATATTTTAGTACATAGAAATATTAATATGAATACATAAAATATATTTAAAAATTTAATAAATATTTGAAGTTAAGAAAATAACCATGATTCAAAATGTTTTTTGAATATATTCAAAATATAATTTTGATAGATTCATATTTAGTGCATAAGTGAATATGATTTTTGGAAGTTGGAACCCACCATATTGAATTCACATCAGTACACTATTAAATACAAATTTCCTTATAATTAACCAATGGTTATAACTAAAAACTACTCTGAATTATTAAACACTCATTCTTTCAAACATGCACCACAAAAGATGGACTGGAACTGTGTTGAGAGCACAGAAATAGAAACAGCAGGAATAAGTAATTTCATAAGGGTTTCATCCAATTAGCCAGCCAGATAAAGAGAGGAGGTTTGCTAACTGTCTAGATGGTAAGAGATGGCCAGGGGTGGTTTAGGGTGGTTAGGGGTGGTTAGGGGGGTTAGAGGTGGTCAGGGGTGGTTAGGAATGGTTAGGGATATCGGAATATTGAGGAAAGATCAGAGATGGTCAGAGATGGTTAAAGATGGTCAGAGATGGTTAGGAGTGGTTAGGGGTGGTTAGGGATGGTCAGTTTTGGTTAGGACTGTTGATGGATATCGGAATGGTGAGGAATGATTAAAGATGGTCAGAGATGGTCAAAGATGGTGAGAGATGGTTAAAGATGGTGTGAGACGATCAAAGATGGTCAGGACTGGTTAGAGGTAGTCAGGGGTGGTTAGGAGTGGTCAGGGGTGTTAGGACTGTTGAGGGATATCAGAATTGTGAGGAATGGTCAGAGATGGTCAGGGGTTGTCAGGAATGGTCAGAGATGGTCCGGGGGTGTTAGAGGTGGTCAGAGGTGGTCAGGGGTGGTTAGGAATTTTTAGGGATATCGGAATATTGAGAAAAGATCAGAGATGGTTAGAGATGGTCAGAGATGGTCAGGAGTGGTTAGGTGTGGTTAGGGGTGATTAGGGGTTGTAAGTGGTGGTTAGGGGTGGTCAGAGGTCGTCAGGAGTGGTCAGAGGTGGTTAGGACTGAGGAGGGATATCAGATTGGTGAGGAATGGTCAGAGATGGTCAGGGGTGGTTAGGGGTGGTTAGCATATCGGATATCGGAATATTGAGAAAAGATCAGAGATGGTCAGAGATGATCAAAGGTGGTGAAAGATGGTGAGAGATGGTCAGCGGTGGTTAGGGGGTTAGAGGTGGTCAGGAGAGGTCCGGGGTGGTTAGGAATGGTTAGGGATATCGGAATTTTGAGGAAAGATCAGAGATGGTCAGAAATGGTTAAAGATGGTCAGATATGGCCAGGAGTGGTCAGGTGGGGTTATGGGTCGTCAGCGGTGGTTAGAGGTGGTCAGGGGTGGTTAGGAATGGTTAGGGATATCGGAATATTGAGAAATGGTCAGAGATTGTTAAAGATGGTCAGAGATGGTCAGGAGTGGTCAGGTGGGGTTAGAACTGTTGAGGGATGTCGGAAGGGTGAGGAATTGTCAGAGATGGTCAGGGGTGGTCAGAGATGGTCAAAGATGGGAAGTGATGGTCAGAGATGTTCAACGATGGTGAAAGATGGTGAGAGACGGTCAAAGATGGTCAGAGATGGTCAGAGATGCCCAGGGGTGGTTAGGGGGCTAGAGGTGGTCAGGAGTGGTTATGGGAGGTCAGGGGTGGTTAGGAATGGTTAGGGATATCGGAATATTGAGAAAAGATCAGAGATGATCTAATATGGTGAATGATGGTGAGAGACGGTCAAAGATGGTCAGGGGTGGTTAGGGGGTTAGAGGTGGTCAGGAGAGGTTAGGGGGGTTAGAGGTGGTCAGGGGTGGTTAGGAATTGTTAGGGATATCGGAATATTGAGGAAAGATCAGAGATATTCAGAAATGGTTAAAGATGGTCAGAGATGGTCAGGAGTGGTTAGGGGTGGTTAGGGGTGGGAAGGGTGGTCAGGAGTGGTCAGTTGTGGTTAGGACTGTTGATGGATATCGTAGAATAGATGATATAAAACAAAAAATATTATAAAACTGATATGGAATCCACTAGACAAAGTCATGAAATATCATTATATTATAATAGATATTTGAGCATTAATAATTAACCAGTTCTTAATATGGGAATTGCGTAATTTATTCAAGATAGATTATATCTTTACTTTTTTTAGTACTTAAATAAATTAAAATTTTGCAAAAAAACCCAGAACGTTTTCACAAGAAAAGTTCTTATAAACTTTTATTTTAAATACTTAAAAAAAAGCTCCATTGAACCTATTACAATGAAAAAAAACCTACTTTTTTTTCAATAGTCCAACATAAGTTTCAAGTTCTAATTTTAATGAAGGATTAAATGGAATTTAAAAAAACTACAATTAAGATTTAACTGGAAGATTCTAAGAGGTGTTTTCTTTCAAATAGCAGTAAATAAATAACAATCAATGTTTAATTAAATCAGGCTATATTTAGTTCTAATGCAAACTTAACACCACATAAGTGAAACAATAAATAGCTTAATCCATATAATCCTTAAAAAGGCACACCAAATAAATATTTTTCTTTTTTTCATAATAGTTATTTTTTTACTACTGATGCAAGAATTGCTATATTCCGTCTGGTTTCATTTGAAATTTGGTTTTCAGTTCTTACCATGCCTCAATTGGAGACTGTTGAGTTATTCACTGCAATTGAAGAAACTTAATGCTTAAAGCAGGAATCTTCCTATTATGATTTATTATTTTTTATTTTATTTATTTTTTAATGCGCTTTGTTAAATACTTTAACATAAGAAATAAAGAAATATTACTCTATTATATTTACTCTCTATCTTATACTATGCATTGGTTATCCCTGTTTTTCATTTTAATATTCATGTCTACATTTTTCTCTGTATTATGGTGGGTTTAACAGCAGATGGAAAACCCATTAAATTTTTATGTATAGATGAGTTCCTGTAAAGTACATACATATTTTAGTACATAGAAATATTAATATGAATACATAGAATATATTTAAAAATTTAATAAATATTTGAAGTGAAGAAAATAACCATGATTCAAAATGTTTTTTGAATATATTCAAAATATTAATTCGATAGTTAGATTCATATTTAGTGCATAAGTGAATATGATTTTTGAAAGTTGGAACCCACCATACTGAATTCACATCAGTACAGTATTAAAGACAAATTTCCTAATAATTAGCTAATGATTATAACTAAAAACTACTCTGAATTATTAAACACTCATTCTTTCAAACATGCACCACAAAAGATGGACTGGAACTGTGTTGAGAGCACAGAAATCCAAACAGCAGGAATAAGTAATTTCATAAGGGTTTCATCCAATTAGCCAGCTAGATAAAGAGAGGAGGTTTGCTATCAACTTTCACATCTTCTGGACTACAGATTTTCATTTAACTTATGAAACAGGCGACTTGATCTACAACACCTTACTGAGACCAATGTGGACATATGGAGCAGAACTTTGGGGTTCGGCAAAACAAACACACATAAACAAAATACAAACAGCTATCTCCTGCTCCCTGAACAATGCAGATTAAGAATAAAATGGCCAAGAGACCTACTATATCGATAAAAACAAAATCAAACAAATTCACCACGACAGTATAAATACAACAAAGTTGCTAATGTGCAGGTGCAAATTGCATAGAATATAAATTTTTAAAAAAAATATCCATTTATTATTAATATATTAAAAATTAAATTGAAATTTATTTTATATTGTATATGAATACATCTTGTGTGCACTGAGGGAATTTGGCTCAGGTTGACATTGAAATCTCTCTTACCCTTCTCAATGGCACTAAAAATCCTGTATTTAATCTCCATCCAAAAATCAAGCAGACCTGAAACTCAAGTTGGACCTCACCAAAATCAAAAAGGAGGACCACCCAACATATCTTGGAATAGTTCTAGACCCATTGAAGCCTGGAACAAATAGAATTATCCATAATAAAAGCCACAAAGATATTAGCTTTTCATGAAGATGAATGCAGGTTCCAATTTGAGAGCAGACCATCAGACATTGAAGGATCTTTACACTGGGTAAATCTGACCTGTGATCCGATGTGGAATCAACAGCTGGAGAACGGCAGCTCAATCAAACTTCAGAAAAATAAACACAGCTCAGAACCAAGTGCCCAGGATAATCACTAAAGCCATTAAATCTACAACAGTATAAGAAATAGGAACTGTCACTGGAGCACCTCCTATGGAAGACAGAAGAGATGTAAAGCTACTCTATCTTGAAAAAAAAAAAAGAAAGATGCATACAGAACCAACCACTAAAAAAAAAACGAAATAGAATCAAACCTATATGTCCAGCTCACAAAATTAATAAGTTAATCTCAGAACTCAAGCTCACCTCGATAAACACTGAATTAGATGAAAAGACAGGCAGCTCACCACCATGGGATTCCCTGTTTAAGCAGGAGATAGTCTTGACAATTCCAGGTATCATGTGAAAGGAGCCCAATGAACCCCAATTAATGAGATAGCTAGCCTCAAAGATGATAAATGAGGGATACCCCTCATCCTCATGGACCCCGATATACACTGATGGGTCGGCTGCAGGCTTCACTGATAATGGAGGAGTAGGAATACAAATAGAATTCCAGGACTGTACCACCCTAGACAAACCCATCCTATGGGCTCCATATATACAAATTTTAAGGCTGTACAGAAGGCTATCCTACAGGGCAGCAGAATAATGAGATAACTAAAAATTAATCCAAAAGAAAACCCAATATTGTATTTCTATCAGATGCACCATCCAAACTTCTGTCCCCAGAGTTCAAATGGAATTCTGTAATCCAGATGCTAGTTGGAAAAATTAAAACCTTCAACTCCAGTACAAAAGAGAAGTACTCCAATGGATACCCGGGCACTGCGGACTAAATGGGAATGAAACAGCCGATCAGATAGCAAAGGAAGGAGCTTCATCCTGTCAAAGGGACTGCATTGAAACTCTTCAGAAGGTCATCTCTATAAATAAAGCTGCAATATGATAAGAGTAGAATGACACCCAACGAACAAACACAGTCGCAACAGGATGAGGGCACACCTCTATATGAAATTTAAAATTGGAGAAGTCCTCCCTAGCTGTAGGAAAGGTGACCAGGATACAGAACATATCCTGAGCTGAAGGATATCAGGAAGCTAATTTAGCCAAACCCCTCTGATTCGGCAATGAACCCCTATGGTGGTCTGGAAGATCTCAGAAAGGTAGTAGAGTTTACACTCTTTTTTATCTGGAACCTCCCCATTTGAGTGAAGTTTGAAGAAGAAGTAAGGATGAAGGTAAACTAATAGGAAGGGTTAGGGAGAGGAGCAGTCATGAATAGGGAATCTTTGGAGATGTCTTTACTGGCTGGAAGCACAAAAGAGAGATCTTATCAGGTCTGATTCTTGCCTAACATAAATTTGAAATAAAAATGATCCCTGCTTCTTAAGTTAAAACTTTTTAGTAAACATCAGCATTCTGCATAACCAAACCAAGCAACCCTTTAAATTTAGACCTCCCAACTAATATAGGATTCCTCAATTTCCTTATCCTCTAGCAAATGAGACATTGAAATATAATTACTATAAAAGACAATAAAAAATATCACTTACCTTTAATAAAGTTATGTTAGAACCTACTATTATCCATTACTACAATTATATTATTTACAATATTGAAATTAATAATCTCACTTGGTATTAGATATGAAAGATACTTTTAAAGGAATTCCTGCTTATGAATGATTTTAACAAATCAATGTTCAATTATTATTAATATATTAAAAATAAAATTGAAATCTATTTTATATTCTATATTAATACATCTTGTGTGCTTGTATGCTCTAGCAAATGAGACATTGAAGTATAGCTACTATGATATACAGTAAAAAATATTACTTACCTGTAATGAAATTGTTAGAAGCTGTTATTATTGATTTAGTACAATTATATTATTTACAATATTGAAATTAATTAGCTCACTTTGTATAACATATGGAAAATAATTTTAAAGGATTTCCTGCTTATAAATAATTTTAAATAGTTTAATAAATAAACGAAATATCTGTAGCTGAGAGGTAAACACCATGATCTTTTTTTATTTTTTCAGAGGAGCCAATGTTCCATAATATTGAGCTATTAAAACTTGTTTCTTAGTTACTAAATCTGTGCCCCACAGGTAAAGACAAGTCACATTTTTGTATCTATTCAGGAAGCCTATTTTACATAACTTAAGAGTTATTAAAATTATTTTCTTAGTTAACAAATTATTTAATAATTAAATGGAAACTGTATTCTTTACCTCCAGGGTACAGATATATATATATATATATATATATATATATATATATATATATATATATATTATGAGCATGATGGAGGTTTGGCTTAGTATGATGTTGAAATCATTCTTACTACTCTCATTGAAACTAAAAATATTACCATTTTTTAAAATTTAAGTGTCTTTGGTTTAGAGCATCATTCCTAATGACCAAATCAGGCTATCATTTAAAATAAGACCATCCTAAATGATTGAAGATAATAAATAATTTAAAAATAGTTTCAACCTGTATTAAAAGTTCGTTGCGGTACTGAATTTTCGCATTGCTATCCAATTGAGGCAGGTGTTCCTCAAGGTAGCGTATTGGGTCCCGTCCTTTACATCCTCTTTACCGCCGATATCCCTGTCCATCCCGATACCTTCCTGGCAACTTTTGCTGATGACACCGCCATTCTATCATCCGACTCAGATCCCAACATAGCATCCTTAAATCTCCAAAACTACCTCACCTTGATTGAGCACTGGTGTAATAACTGGTGCATTAAAGTTAATGAATCTAAATGCCAACATATTACCTTTACACTCCGACGCAGTTCCTGTCCACCAGTACACTTTAATTCCATCCAGCTTCCTTACTCA